TGCTGAACCTGAACAGACCCTGTACAGACAGCATCCTAAATAGCGTCTTTAAGACTTATTACCACTGTGCAGGATTGCATTCTAAATTTTATGGAGAATATTACTTAAGGGGAGACACAAAAATATTTTGCTGCATTTGTAGTCGTCCTATAGGTTTAATAACCCACAATTTACTGATTCAGTGCTTTAATAATTTACATAAATGAAAATTACAACTCTATACTGGCACTCTGCCATTTACAGACTTAACTCCGCATACCACAAGTGCAGAAGAGCCCTGGAATGCACCTGCCAACAGCAGAAGTTGCTCCTCCAACTACAGATTTTCATTAAAACCATTTCCTTAGAATCTAAATATGAATACAACTTTTGTGGATGTCCTACAAATGAAAGTCACAGTTAAACTATTTTTGGACACTACTCACAGTCTCTTCTTGTCTATCACTCGCTTAACTCGGATGGCTCTCTGTTCAGAATACAGCTTACACACTCCTGTTCAAGATAGCAATAAACAAAACTTTGGGTTAGACAAGCATGATTTCTTTCTTGAAAAATGCAATCATTCATTTTTAACCATTCAATAAATACTACGTACTTTTTAAGTAATCTTCAATGAAGTCCAAGACAGCTGTTCTGTGCTCCTTTACCTGAGCAGACTGGACACCCTTGTGTGCTGAAATACAAAAGAAAGATATAACAACATCTTTAACTTTTTACTGTATTACACAAAAGTTTGCACTTTCAGTTGATATGCAAGTTACATTCAAGAGGCTATTAACATTTTACATATTATATATTAGCATTTATTTTAAACATAGCTATAATTAAATATAGGTTCTGCAAACCAGAAAATCATTACAGCAAAAGCTGAAAAAAACTGGTGTCTTACAGTATTTACGCTACAGATTTGTTTTCTATGCCACCAAGTCATATTATGTAAATGAAATTTCTAAATAAGAATATATGTCACCAAGCTAAGCATAGCAAAACAGATCTACAGATTTGACTTGCTTACAATATTGAACTTTTAACATTTTAAATTCTCCAAGTGTATAGATAATGTGGAAATTTTGGAGATTTATTGTGTCAAGCATCCTTTTAATTCACATATATTAATAGTTCTTATTTTGATACTATGTAGTTCCCATGCATGACTGACTTTCAATGATTCTGAATAATGCTACAACTGTGTTCAGATGACATTTCAAAGGTGATGAAAATCTTTGGTATGTTGATAAAACACAAACATAGAGCAAGTCACCTTGAAAATGGCAAACCAAGAGCTCTCCCTGCAACTTTCTTAAGACGGTGTTGTAAAGGGATGAACCCATACTCAAGCTGTCAAAAAAACCTGCAGGACTCTGTTAAATTTATTTAATTAACTCAAATTTGGAAGGATTATACTTGTAATATCTTACATGTGGACAAGCTAGAAAGAGACAACCACTGAATTTTGTAACCTTTGGTTTATGCCTCTATGCCACAGTACTGAAATACTGTTTAAGCAGTAAATACCCAAGATTATCTTTTTTACAATTGCTAATTAGTGTATTTGCAGAATTAAATAAAATTCTATGCTCTGGCTTCTCCTTCCACTAACATTAAAGAAAATTAAGTACAGTACTAATCAGCCAGTGGGATTACATAGATGCAAACGAAAAGGCAATGAGACTCCACCAGTCTCTTTCCAGAAGCATTTCATATTCACCACTTTATCAATAACTATGAAAAAGCATTTAAGAGTTACTCAGTTTACCTTCTGTCCTCAGCTGATGAATGGCATCGGCACACGTCCTCATAAATATTTGAGCATCTTGGTCTATCTGATCACGCTCCGTGTCTGTCATCCGCACGTACTCAGACGTGATATGGCTGTGAAGCAAGACAAATCGTCACTTAAGAAAACCCCAACTTAAAATCTACAAGTACACACTTCAGACCTTCTCGCCACTCACCATCTCCACAGAAGCTTATAAATAAGTAAAAAGTGCAATAACCATCACTGATAAAAATGCCACTTCTATAAAGCTTAGAGGTTTTAAAAACCATTTTTGACTAGTAAAAGAAAAAGTAGTGCATCCTATCATCTTGTACATAATCAAATACTGAGCAGGTAAGGAGAAAATACAACTAGAAAATATATAATTACCCTCAGTACTTATTCCAAGGAGGCATATTTCAGTTCTGAAAACACAAAACAAGTAGGATAAAGGAATAGCTCAAATGTTGTGATGGTGGTGAAACACTGGAACAGGTTGTCCAAAGAGGTGGTAGAAGCCCCATCCCTGGAAACATTCAAGGCCAGGCTGGATGGGCCTACGAGCAATCTGATCTATCTAAAGATATTCTGGCTCACTGCAGGGGGGTTGGACTAGATGGTCCCTTCTAACCCAAAACATTCTACGGTCCTATGTTCATCTAAGGTTTCCTGACAATGCAGATATATTTGACTTTAAAAACAGGAAAGAAAACCTTAACTCACACCCTCATTTTAATTTAGATTTTTATTTATATGTGAAAATTTGTCCACTTGTTCAAGGTATGTATAATGCAGCTATATTAATGCAGTAAAACGGGTAAAAAGAAGGGATATTCAATTTCCAAAGCTAGCTCAATACCCCTAGTGATCTCTTACATACTTCACTGCAGTAATGCCAAATCTTCCCTGTGTCTGCTGCAATCTATGCCACAGGAATGCCTGCAACCAGTGCATGTCACCCAATCTCATCATCCCTCATCACACGCAAAACCACCACCTCCTTCCTGCATCTTCAAGGTACTGTCAGCATTGGTGTCCCAGGTCTCCTCCACAAAGTTTTAAGTTTACTGTAATGTCCCCAAGCACTATACCAAAATGTCTTCATTCCCATCCCATGTGACTGATTGCACATTAAAAAAGCGGCACATGGTTCATCTGGCTTAAAAATTAGTTTCTGCTTACTGACCAGCTACTACACACGCACAGATTAGCCAGCAAACAGGCAAACTGATTAGAAGTAATATTCTGTATTCTACTTGTTTGTTTCCAACACTGCCATGTATTTGACATCCAACTATCAGGGCTTTTTTTTCCTTCTTGTTAAAATTACTCTGAACATTATAAAGTTATTTTTTATAATTTACAGAAAAGCAGCCATATATAGTGTTTCCATTTATACTTTCCCAGCAGAGTTGCTCTCCTTTGGTCAGGACAGATGGATTTCATAAATCTGTGGCAAAATCCCTATGGCAACTGTAATCAGTGGTCTTCTAAACTGTAACTCTAATTTGTACTCTCTGAGACTGCAGCTTCTGAATGATGAAAGGTTTGAAACAGTCTGATTTTAAAAATATCTGAGGGAAAGTCTTTGCCCAGCCTAGTTAAGATGCCATACTGATAGTTATATATGCAATATAAGATAACTCATGTTGTTAAACATACTAGAACAGTCTCCTTCTCTGGAGACATTCAAAACCCGCCTGGACGCCTTCCTGTGTAACCTCATCTAGGTGTTCCTGCTCCGGCAGGGGGACTGGACTGGATGATCTTTTGAGGTCCCTTCCAATCCCTAACGTTCTGTGATTCTGTGATTCTGTAACAGTTATCTCCCCATAACTCCCATGGGGCTTTTTATTACGAGTTCTTAGCATATGTAAAGACAGAAAATCTATTCTGACATCCATCTCTGCATAGGCCCAGACAGAAAGGGACCATTAAGATGACCTGGTAGGGGATGATGCATGATTTCATTCAATGATCCACATCTAGAGAGTTACTTGAGTGTGTTAGGGCACACAGATTCAGATGGAAAACAAGGATGGAGTAACGGCTTCATGCTGGCCCCCTGATGAAGCAAAGAAGCCTCCACTCTTCTATTTCAGGTTACAATAATAAGTTCTGGCTGGTCTGCTACTGAACAGAGTATAAAGCTCTTACCTTTATATGTCCAGGTTCTTGTACACTGCCCAGCTTTGGGGTATTTGCAGAGTTCTATGCTATCCATGCACTTTCTAACATTACAGGGTAAAATAAAGATTACAAAATGCAAATCAGAGTTTTCTTTTAAATCAGACTTAGAAATACATATGAAAAAACATGCCTCAGGCATGCTTTATTTTTTTCTAACAGTATAACTAGTGATATACTGAGGATAATTATAACAGCTTTAACATTGGGGAAAAAAGTTCATTTACTTTTCATAGCTGCTAATACTAAAATAAGGTAGATCAAATTCTTAAATAGGAGTTTCACAGCTTCAAAGGTAACAAAATGTAGCTTAATCCAGTAAAAAAATGAAACAGAGTACTTTTCCTTTTATAACTGCTTACAGCTTACATAGTGTCTGGAGCCAGTGCTTTTGAACAAGAGCTGGTCAAGCCACTCAGAGGGAAGGACATCTGAAACCCAACCTCCTTGGGAAGGCAGGAATGGAGTCATACAATCACATCCCACTATGTCAAAACACACATGGCATCCACTAACAGGGTACTGAAGTTCCCATTGCACTCCCCAGGAAATCTGCACATTGAGATTTTACTGAAAATCCACCTAATCACCATCCCCTAGCCTTACAACCCAGAAATACAACCATTGGTTTAAAAAGAATGGGTCAAAGAAAACCAAACACACACACACACACACACACACAAACAAATCAAGCAAAACTGTAGTGGAACAACAGCAACAACAAAAAAATGCAGCCACGTCCTGTATGTCAGAGATACAAACACTTGTTCAGAAGTGGCAGTACCGCAGCATTGGGCTGATACGTCACTAGATCAAAAAAGCTCAAACGAAGCAGGTTTTTCAGAAGCAATCAGAAGAATTAGCCAAGACGCATACTGGCTAATGCATGCAGGGTAATGCAGTTAAAGAAGGGGGAAAGAGGGAAAATAAATTCTTCTAGATTTTTATCCTAATTGATAGGAGAAAGCTTCATGAGAAACTTGAGCTGGGAGGCAACCTGAATTATTTGTGATTTTCAAGAAGGTGGGTGAAGAATCAGCTAAAGACAGTAGCCATCAAGTAGGCAGACTTCAATAGTTTGGAAAAATTAGTAGGTTAAATTGGATAGAAAAGAGAAACTTAAAAAGTACCAGAAAAGAATTCAGCTGAACTAGTAGTTTTCATACAGAAATGACATGATAATTTGCAATTCTGCTCTTGATGAAAGCAAGAATAGGCAATGCAGTAAGAGATCAATGTAGCTACTTCATGAGCTACAAAAAAAAGCAGACTACAGAAAGTGCAAATTAGGTCTGATTGCTACCGCCAAGTCTAACGGAACACAGCATACAGGGACACAGTCAGAAAAGGCCAAGTGCGGGATGAGACAACTGGTAAGGGATGTCAGCGATAACAACAGATTAGTCTGCAAGTACTACTAAGAGAAACACCTGAAACAGGAAATGCATCTAATGAAAGGATGTATCTTCACTGCCAAGAACTCGAGGAGAATAACTTGAGTGCTAGGTTGATGAAAAGATGAAGTGTAGCATCTTCAAAAAACAGGGTTAAGGAGGGGGAGAGGGGAAATATGGAGGACCTACAGAGCACAGCCTAGGAAAATACAGGAACAAATAATCAAACAATTATTAAGCGCTTAGGCAAGAACAGAAAGATAACCAATAGCCACGATGTACCAGGAGTAAGTCATATGCAGTATAGTTTACTTCTGGGATGCAGTAACAGGTCTCATGGATGGATGGAATGCAATCATTGCTATATATATATTCTTTTTAATGTGACTTCTGTTACCATCTCACATGGCATTCCCATAAGCTACCAGCAAATAAATGAGTTAGAAGAAACAAGCACCATATGGATGTGAAACTGTCTGAAAAGCTGTACTTGGAGTACTTACACACCAAAGCATAAAAATACACTGCACTGTGTTCCACAGGGGTTTGTCTTGAATTGAACACTATTTAATACTTTCATTAACAACTCAGACAGCAGAATGGAGTATACACTTATTAAATCTGCAGAGGCATAAAACTAAGCGAATTAAAACTGTATCAAGAGAACAAGACTGCAGTTCTAAACAATACTGCCAACTTGGAGAAATGACATGAAGAATTTGCATCAGGAATGGTCAGAGGCCCTTTGCTGCAGCAGAAAAACTATTTGAACCCACAGAGGATGGGGAAGAACCGATTGGGGAACAGCTCTTCAGAAACTCATCTGGGATCACACTGGATCATAAACCAAAAGTAACAACATGTTGTTGCATAAAAAGTCATCACTACAATGGGACGCATAAATGCCGTACAATCCATCACAAATGAAAGGTAATCTCACTGCCATCCCTAGCGCTGTGCAAGGCCTCAGCTGGAGTTTTGCTTCATTTCAGCACCTCACTGCAACACCTACTGGGACAGCGTCCAAAGGAGAGGAACAAGTACAATCGAAGCTTGAAGAGAACACGTATGAAAAACCAAATATGCTGTAATTGTTGATTCTAGAAGAAACTGAGGAGAAACCAAAAAAAAATAGTGCAAAACAATAAAATTCTAGTAGCATGGAAAAGGAAACAGGAAAAAGCAGAGGAATTTCCACTGAAATAAATACTTCAAAGCAAGCCAAGCAACACAGCGGTAGAATGGCCTGGTCATTCTCTTTCTGAATGTGCCGGCCATGCTCCTTCCAGCCTATCATTACTACGATCCTGTTTTGCTGGCAAAGCACAAGGAACCAGAGCTGACGGAAGCATTACATCAGCTTTTGGAATCAGTAACTCTTTCTGCTGGTGCATAAAATATTTTCTGCTTACTGATTCAATAAAGACACCAAATCAAGCAGAAAAACTTGATTTTCCTCCAAAAACATATTACAAGAGAGAGAAGCAAGAAGCTGAAATAAATCAATTCTAAAATCCTAACGTGTACTGGTT